TTTAGAGCCATGATGTTGAGTAAGCTCAACAGCATGTGTAAGGATATGAGCACCATGAGTAAAGAAATGTTGAAAATCAACCAGTTGGAAAATAAAAACCAACAGGAAGAAATGAAGAATGACCTATCAGAAATGAAAAACACATTGGAAGGTCTAAAAAGTAGAGTAGGGGAAGCTGAGGACTGGATCAGTGAATTAGAAGACAGGCTAGAAAAAATCAACCAATCAGAAAACCAAAAGGAAAAAATGATTAAAAAAAAGGAAGACATCTTAAGAGAACTGTGGGACAACTGGAAACGGAATAATATTCACATCATAGGAGTCCCTGAAGAAGAAGAAAATAAGCAAGGGTTAGAGAATATATTCCAAGAAATAGTGACAGAAAACTTCCCTAATTTGGTGAAGAAAGAAGTCATTCAAGTTCAAGAAGCACAGAGAGCCCCAAGTAAGAAGAGCCCAAACAGGCCCACACCAAGACACATAGTAATCAAACTGCCAAAAATTAAAGACAAAGAGAGAATCCTCAAGGCAGCAAGAGATAAGAAACAGGTTACCTACAAAGGAAACCCCATAAGGCTCTCAGCTGACTTCTCACAAGAAACACTACAGACCAGAAGAGAATGGCATGAGGTAATCAAGGTCATGAAAAACAAGGATCTGAATCCAAGACTACTCTACCCAGCAAGGGTATCATTCAAAATAGAAGGCCAAATAAAGAGCTTCCCAGACAAAAAAAGGCTAAGGGAATACATTAGCACCAAACTAGCACTGCAAGAAATGTTAAAAGGACTGCTGTAATTACCAGGAGAAATAGGAAGAACAATAGAACCACACTAAACAAAAATGGCAATAAATAAGTACATATCAATAATCACCTTAAATGTAAATGGACTGAATACTCCCATAAAAAGACACAGAGTAGCTGATTGGATAAGAAAGCATGACTCATCTATACCTTGTTTATAAGAGACCCACCTCAAAACAAAAGACTCACGTAGATTGAAAGTGAAGGGATGGAAAAAAATCTTCCAAGCAAATGGAAAAGAAAAAAAAATGCTGGGGTAGCAATACTCATATCTGATAAAATAGATTTCAGAATGAAGGCCATAATTAGAGACAAAGAAGGCCACTACATAATATTGAAAGAATCTATCCAACAGGAAGATATAACCTTGATAAACATATATGCACCCAATATAAGAGCACCAAAATATATTTAAAAACTTCTGGAGGATTTCAAAGGAGAAATTGATAGCAATGCAATCAGAGCAAGGGACTTCAACACCCCGCTGACATTGCTGGATCGATCCTCTAGACAAAAAATTAGCAAGGAAACAGATACTCTAAATGAAGCACTAGACCAAATGGATTTAATAGATATCTACAAAGAACTATACTCCAAAACTATGGAATTCACATTCTTCTCAAGTGCACATGGGACATTCTCAAAGATAGACCACATGTTAGGGCACAGACTAAGTCTCTACAAGTTCAAGAAGATTGAAATTATATCAAGCATCTTCTCAGATCACAATGGCATGAAACTAGAAATCAATTGCAAGAAGAACTTACAAAGAAATTTGAACACATGGAAGCTAAATAGCATGTTATTAAACAATGAATGGGTCACCGAGGAGATCAAGGAAGAAATCTAAAACGTCCTGGAAACCAATGAAAGTGAAGACACAATAACACAAAATCTATGGGATGCAGCGAAAGCAGTTCTGAGAGGGAAGTTCATAGCACTACAGGCCTACCTCAAAAAAGAAAAAAAATCCCTAATAGGCTATCTAAACTCACAACTTAAAGAACTAGAGAGCAAACAAAAAGAAAACCCCAGAGCAACTATAAGGAACGAAATAATAAAGATCAGAGCAGAAATAAATTACATAGAGACCAAAAAAACAATTCAAAGGATCAATAAAACAAAGAGCTGGTTTTTCAAAAAGATAAACAAGATTGATGGACCCTTAGCTAGACTCACCAAGAAACAAAGAGAGAGAATCCAAATACACAAAATCATAAATGAAAGAGGAGAGATGACAACTGACACCACAGAAATACAAAAGATCGTTAACAACTATTATGAACAATTATATGGTAACAAATTCGACAATCTAAGCAAAATGGACAAATTTCTAGAAACACATAGTCTCCCAAAACTAGATCAGGAAGAGATAGAAAACTTGAACAGACCAATAACAACAGAAGAAATTGAAGATGTAATCAAGACTCTCCCAGCAAACAAAAGCCCAGGCCCAGATGGCTTTACGGGGAAGTTTTACTGAACATTCGACGAAGAACTAATACGCATTCTCCTCAAACTATTTCAAAAAATGCAAGAAGAAGGAAGACTTCCAAACTCGTTTTATGAAGCCAGCATAATTCGAATTCCAAAACCAGAAAAACACACTACAAAGAAAGAAAAGTACAGGCCAATATCCCTGATAAACATAGATGCCAAAATCCTGAACAAAATACTAGCAAATCGGATCCAGCAATACATCAAAAAAATTATGCACCATGACCAAGTGGGATTCCTCCCAGGGATGCAAGGCTGGTACAATATTCGCAAATCCATAAATGTGATATACCACATAAATAAAATGAAGAACAAAAACCACATGATCATATCAATAAATGCTGAAAAAGTCTTCGACAAAATCCAGCATCCATTTCTGATAAAAACTCTCAGCAGTGTGGGAATAGAGGGATCATATCTCGACATAATAAAGGGCATATATGAAAGACCTACAGCCAACATCATACTCAATGGGCAAAAACTAAAAGCATTTCCCTTAAGAACAGGAACAAGGCAAGGATGCCCACTTTCACCACTCCTATTTTACATAGTACTGGAAGTCTTAGCCACAGCAATCAGACAGGAAGAAAAAATAAAAGGGATCCAAATTGGAAAGGAGGAAGTGAAATTGTCATTATTTGCAGATGACATGATACTATACATAGAAAACCCCAAAGACTCCATCAAAAGTTTATTAGACTTAATAAATGAATTTGGCAATGTAGCAGGATACAAAATTAATGTCAAGACATCGATGACATTCTTATACACCAATAATGAACTCACAGAATGAGAAACTAAGCAAACAATCCCATTTACCATTGTGGCAAAAAAATTAAGATACCTAGGAATAAACTTAACCAAAGAAATAAAGGACGTATTTGCAGAAAACTACACGTCATTGAAAAAAGAAATAGAGGAAGATATAAAACAGTGGAAAGACATACCCTGTTCATGGGTTGGGAGAATTAACATCATTAAAATGTCCATATTAACCAAAGCAATCTATAGATTCAACACAATCCCCATCAAAATACCAATGGCATACTTCACAGAATTAGAACAATTATTTCAAAAGTGCATATGAAACCAAAAAAGGCCTCGAATAGCCACAGCAATCTTGAAAAGGAAGAACAAAGTTGGAGGGATCACAATACCAGATTTAAGGTTATACTACAAAGCCACTGTAATCAAAACAGCCTGGTACTGGCACAAGAATAGGCATATAGACCAATAGAACAGAACAGAGAACCCAGAAATGGCCCCAAGGCAATATGCTCAATTAATATTTGACAAAGGTGGCAAGAACATACAGTGGAGTAAGGACAGCCTCTTTAAAAAATGGTGCTAGGAAAATTGGACAGCTACTTGCAGAAAAATGAAACTAGACCATCAACTTGCACCATACAAGAGAATAAACTCAAAATAGATAAAAGACTTAAATGTAACTCATGAATCCATAAAAATCCTAGAAGAGACTGTAGGCAACCAAATTTCAGACATCATACGCAGCAGAATTTTTACTGACACATCACGTAAGGCAATAGAAACAAAGGAGAAAATGAACACATGGGACTACATCAAACTCAAAAGCTTCTGCACAGCTAAAGATACAATCATCAAAACGGAAAGGCTACCCACTGTATGGGACAGCATAATTGCCAATGATATATCAGATAAGGGGTTAATTTCCAATACATATAGAGTCTCATACAACTCCACAGAAGGAAGACAAAGTATCCAATTATAAAATGGGCAGAGGAACTAAATAGACACCTCTCCAAACAGGACATACAAATGGCTAAGAAACATATGAAGAAATGCTCATCATCACTAATCATCACAGAGATGCAAATTAAAACAACAATGAGGTATCACCTCACACCTGTCAGAATGGCCGCCATCAACAAATCATCAAACAACAAGTGTTGGCGCGGGTGTGGAGAAAAGGGGACTCTAGTGCACTGCTGGTGGGAATGCAGACTGTTGCAGCCACTATGAAAAACAATATGGTGTTACCTCAAAAAATTAAAAATTGAACTTCCATTTGACCCAGTGATCCCACTTCTAGGAATATACCCTAAGAAGCCTAAAACACCAATCAGAAAGAATATCTGTACCCCCATGTTTGTAGCAGCACCATTTACAATAGCTAAGATCTGGAAACAGCCCAAATGCCCATGAGTAGACGAATGGATAAAAAAGCAGTGGTACATATACACAATGGAATACTATGCAGCTGTACAAAAGAAAGATCTCTTATCCTTTGAGAATACATGGAGGGACCTGGAAAGTATCATCCTAAGTGAAACAAACCAAACAGAGAAAGACAAGTTTCATATGATCTCACTTATTTGTGGAATATAATGAACATAACAGTCTGAGGAAGGGGGTAGTCCCAGAGACACAGAAATGGGATACAGACTGACAATCCCCTAAATAGGGGTGTGGTGGGGGAGAGATAAACCACAGAACTTATTTGTATGTATGTATGAACAGTGGACATGGACAACAAACTGGGAAAGGGCAGGGAGAGAGGGGGAAGGGTGAATCAGTGGGTGGGGGGGGAGGAGAAACATCTGTAACAAAAATTAATTAATAAAAAAAAAGAAAAATAAATAAATAAAACAAAAGATACACAAAAACAGAAAAAGTCATTAAAAAATGTCACTATAAAAAAATCAATAAAACACACACATCCCTTCCACGTGATTACTCTGAGATCCATGGTACAGTTCATTTGCAGAGAATCTAAGTACTGTGGACTTTGTGACTCCATAGTAACCATCTATCGGGAAGAGGGCATACTAGGATTTTTTGCGGGTCTTATTCCTCGCCTCCTAGGAGACATCATTTCTTTGTGGCTCTGTAACTCACTGGCCTACCTCATCAATACCTATGCACTGGACAGTGGGGTTTCCACCATGAGTGAAATGAAGAGTTATTCTCAAGCTGTCACAGGATTTTTTGCCAGTATGTTGACCTATCCCTTTGTGCTTGTCTCGAATCTCATGGCTGTCAACAACTGTGGGCTTGCTGGTGGGTGCCCTCCTTACTCCCCAGTGTATACTTCTTGGATAGACTGCTGGAGTATGCTACAGAAAGAGGGAAATATGAGCCGAGAAAATAGCTTGTTTTTCTGGAAGGTCCCCTTTGGGAAGACTTATTGTTGTGACCTGAGAATGTTAATTTGAAGATGTGGGACAGGGACAGTGACATTTCTATAGTCCCAGACGCACAAAATTATGGGAGAGAATGTTGATTTCTATGCAGTGTGGCACGCTTTTTTAATAATCATTTAATCTTGGGAAAATGGAAAAAAAAATCAATAAAACACAAAGGAAGAGAACAAAAGAGAAAGACAGACAAAAGAGCTATAAAAATTAAAGAACACAATAAACAAAATGGCAATAGTGAGTCCTTCTCTATCAATAATGAATTTGAATATAAAAGGATTAAACTCCCCATTGAAAACACATAGTGTGGCTAAGTGTATAAAATACACGACTCAACTATATGCTGTCTACAAGAGACTTTCTTCACAAATAGGCTGAAAGTTAAATAATAATAACGATAATAATAATAATAATAATAATCCCATGCAATGGTAACCAAAAGAGTACAAGGTGATCATACTTATAGTAAAATATATAGACCTTAAGTCAACATTTTTTTTGCAAGAGACAATAAATGATAAAAGGGTTAATTCACTAGGATGATATAATAATTATAAATAAAAATGTAAAAGTCAGAGAAAATATGGAAAAAATGCATGAAGAAATAAAAAGCAACACAATACTAGGATGTTTCAGTACCTCTTTTTAATAATTGATAAAACATCCACCAGAAGATCAATAAGAAAACAAAATAACTGAAAAACACTATAAAACAAATGGACCTAACAGACATACAAATATCATTCCACCCAACATTAGAATATATATTCTTCTCAAGTTCATGTAGAACATTCTCCAGAATAGATCATAAAGCAAGTGTAAAATCATACCAAATTATTTTTACTATCACAATGGAATGAAACTAGAAATCAAGAGAAGATAAACTGGAAATTTTACAAATATGTGGAAATTGAAAAACACATACTTGAATGATCAATAAGTCAAAGAATAAAAGGTAAATTTAAAACATATCTGAAGACAAAAATAAAATCATGACAAATCAAAAACATATGTGATGCTGCAAAGGCAGTACTAAGAGAAAAATTCACAATGATAAACATCTATCTTAAAAAAGAAGAAATATCTCAAGCAAACAACCTAACTATACCTCATGGAACTAAAAAAAGGACAAACTAAGCCAGAAATGAGCAGAACAAAAGACAGAATAGAAAATTAATAGAAAAAAAAATAAAGCTAAAGTTTTTCTTTAAAAAGATCAACAAAACGAACAAACCTTTAGCTAGACTAAGAAAAATCACTTAAATAAAACCAGAAATGAAAGAGGAGACATTACAACATTAAAAAATAAAAATAGGCAAATAACTTGAATACACATTTCTTCAAAGAAGAGAATTAACAAACAGGTATATGAAAATGTTTTACATCACTAATCATCAGGCAAATGCAAATCAGAACAACAATGAGATATCACCTCACACTTACTAGGATAAACATTATAAAAACAATAACAAAATATCTACAAAACAATCGTTGGCAAAGATGTGGAGAAACTAGAACCTTTTATGCACTGTTGCTGGGATTGTAAAATGATGCAGTTACTTAAAAAATAGTACTGAGACCCTTCAAAAAATTTAAGTAGAACTATTGATGATTTATTAATTCTCCTACTGGGTATTAATCCAAGTGAATTAAAATCAGGGTCTCAAAAACATATTTGCACACCCATGTTCATGGAAGCATTGTTCAAAATAGCCATAAAGTATAAACAAGCTAAATGTCAATTGTTTGATGAATGGATAAATGAAATGTGGTATAGACAATAAAGTATTATTCAGTCATATACAAAAGTAAATCCTGTAAGAGCTGCAACATGGATGAACTTTAATGACATTATGCTAAATAAGCCAATCACATTAGGACAAATACTGCATGATTCCACTTATATGAGGTATTCAAAGTAGTCAAATTCACTGAAGCAAAATGTAGAGTGGTGGTTGTCTAGGTGGTGAGAAGTTGTTGAACGGATATAGTTTCAGTCAAGCAAGATTAAAATGTTTGTGATCTATACTACAACATTTTGCTTATGGTTAACAAAACTGCATTGTATACTTACACATTTGTTAAGATGGTAGATCTCATTTCATGTGTTTTTTAGCACAATTATAAAAAAAAAAGAAAGAAAAAAAAAACACCTCTCCATTTCTTCCCAGTAGACTGAGGAGCATTAGATGTGATTCAAAGGTGAAGGGTCCCATTGTAAAAAGTATTTTATATACTCTTTTCAACTCTTTCACAGTGAAGGTTAAGGTCATGAGGAACATGAGGTAGAATAAATCTCCAGAAGTTGCTGGACTACCTGCTAACTCTTGAAGCTAATTAAATAACTGCTTACACTGAAAACTTACAATGAAGAATTTCTATAATTATTCATTTCCCACTCTCCTCCTCACTCATGCTCTGAGCACATTGGATGTTTTTCAGTTCATCACAGTGCCATCATCTGGCTTTGGAATGTTTGCATGAGATTCCTCTGACTTTTAAGTTCTTATTTCCAATTCCTGGGTTGTAGCTCCTTCATCTGGTCTGGTCTTAAGTTGCATGTGGTAGACAAGACTCTCTAGACAGTCCACTCTGCACTGACTTCTCTTTTACTGTATTTTATTTCACTTTGTTGTTTTTCTTACCACAATTTGTAGTTATGTATGTGTTTATTGATGATGTGATGCCTATTACGTCAACCATGGTCAGATACAAAGTTTTTTTGCTTGTTTGTTTTTTTCTCCTTATCTCTGAATTCTCAGCCTGAGAAATAAAGTAGTGTTTTGCAAACTTTAATGTGCATAAGAATTCCCTCGCATTTATTGAGGTATAATTGACAAATAAAATTGTAAGACATTTAAGTGTACATCATGGTGATTTAGTATACGTATACATTTTGAAAGGATTCTGCCTGCTCATCTGGTGAATATATCCATGACCTCACATATTATTTACTTTTTGTTGTTGAGAAAAACTTCTCTCTTAGCAATTACAATTATTCTATACAGCATTATCAACTATAGCAATCATGTTATACATTAGATCCTCAAATGTTACTCATCCTATAGCTGAAAGAACCTGGAGTTCTTGTTGTAATAAACATTCTGATTCCGTATGTCCAGGGTAAGGACCCAAATTCTACATTGCACACAGGCTCCAAGCAGATGCTTGCTATCTAAGGATCAAAATCGAGTAGCAAAAATCTAGTGCATTGAGATGATTAAATCAGTAAATACATGTTGACTGAATCAATGAGAGTGAATAAATGAAAAACTATACTACAACCAACTCTAACTTCAAGAATATAATAAAAAAAAGTTAATAGTTTTAATTGCCATGACTTTTCATAGTTATTCATTAGTAACACAATTATGGCCTATATATGTGTATGTATATGTATATATATATATATATATATATATATATATATATATATTTAATTAACAGCTTGGATGCTGTGTAGCTCCCAAGTAGCATTGTGTTGCTCTCTTAAATAGACCATGCCATTATTTGACCTAAATTTTGGCAAAAACTAAAATGTAATTTAAAAAATTTAAAGGATTAATCCCTTATTTGGTTCACAAGAAAATAATTTGTTAAAATAAAGATTGTCGATATCAACTTAAATATTTTTAGACAAATCAATAGTGTCTATAATATGCCAGAAAATGTCAGTGGATAAAAATATGTGGATTAATAGGGCACAATTGGTAACTCTCAGAAGTTTTCACAGTTCAAAGCGGGAGGCATGAAATAAGGCAAGCCCAACCTTTGATTGCAGTATGAATAAGGCTCCCCAGGAGACACAGGGGGAGAATAATTTACCTATGACTGGAGAGGTCAAGAATTTTGTGAAAGAAATTACAGTTAACTTGAGTTTTTAAGAATGACTCAGAGTCATTTTTAAGAATGACGGTTAAGAATGACTCAGAGTCATTCTTAAAAATGACCGCACAAGGTTATAAAAATGCCATGTGAGAGAAGGGAAAAAAATGTGCAAAAAGAGAAAACAAGGCCAGGGTGCACTGTGTCAGTGAAAAGCCTGGGGATTGCAGGAACAGGGTGTTGAAAAGATGGATAAAGCTCAAATCGCAAGACTCTGTTGGTTCAATTAGAGGTTTGGGGCCTTATCTTGTAAGTCAATAATTTTCAACATGTGTTCCTCTATAGCACATATGACAGACGATATTTACATACATGACACAATGTCCTGAGCAGAGCCAAGGTTAATGTAAGACCTTGCATCTACATTGGTCCTTTCCCATGTAATGTAAGACATCACATAAAAATAAGCAAGTGAAGGTGGAACTATTACAATTTTTACACTCTTCGAATTGATTTAGTGAAGTGAATAATTCATAAAAAATTTCATGATATGCCTCCTGTCCTAATACCTCACATCACTGTGCTGTTAACACCACAGTGTTTGGAATTTGGGCTGTGTAGAAACAAGGATCTACTAAATATATGAGGTAAGAATGTGCATGATTGCTTTTATTATTATTATTTTTTTTTTAAGAAAGGGCACTTTGGTGGCAGTGAAGTGAATTGATGCATAGAAATAGAGTGAGAACTATCACACAGCAGTTCTCAGCATTGATGGGACAGTTTCCGGTAGTGACATGACAGACACCAAGAATTGGCCAGCTCAACCCCTATGTCCAATCACGTTGATTTTTCTCTATCCCCACCAGAGAAAATAATAAAAATAATATCCACTTAACTTGTGTCTCCTGCAATGAGGAGCAGACATGTGATATTTCAGGTCAATAACATGTAAACATGTCTTCCCAAGATTTCTGGGAAGGCTTTCTTTATTAAAGGGACATGCTGTTGATGCTTCCCCTCACTCCAATTCTTCCGGTCTTGAATAAGGAAGTGATTCCTGAAGTAACATAACCACTTTGTGTCCATAACTTTAAAAAAAAAAAACTGCTGAGAGCTAATATTCTTCAGTTGTCTACAGTAGCCCTTGTCCAAGGATTCTTGAGTCAAAACACAGACCAACCAACCAACAAACAAACAATTTAAGTTATTGCTATAGTTCTTTGTTCCTTGTATACAAGAGGAGATGTTCCTGAATATCAAAGCAGGACTTATTCAAACTATATGAAACTCCCACATGTGGGTTTCC